CTCCATCCAGAGGAGAGACCTGACCCAGAATCCCGTCCTTCTGAGACCTTCCTGTGCCCGGAGACATCTCCATCCAGAGGAGAGACCTGACCCAGAATCCCGTCCTTCTGAGACCTTCCTGTGCCCGGAGACATCTCCATCCAGAGGAGAGACCTGACCCAGAATCCTGTCCTCCTGAGACCTTCCTGTGCCCGGAGACATCTCCATCCAGAGGAGAGACCTGACCCAGAATCCCGTCCTCCTGAGACCTTCCTGTGCCCAGAGACACCTCCATGCTGGTAGGATCCACACCTTGTAGAGACATTACCCTCAGCAAAATCTCATCCCAGGTACTGCGGAGTGACGAGAGACTTATCCTTCCCTAAGAGACATCTAAAACCACCTCACATAGAGTGTCCTACGCTCACAGACTGTCCCAAGGTGAGAGACATTCCCATTTTACCCAACTAGACATACCAGAGACCCCCCTATGGTTAGAGACATGCCCATGTTCCACCAACTAGGCATAGCTGCATCCCAGAGAACGTCATATGGTAAGAGACATCTCCACATTCACCAACTAGAGATCGTTACATAACAGAGACTGTCCCATGGTGAGAGACATCTCCAACTCTACAGAGCTACATACTAGAGACTGTCCCATGGTGAGAGACATCTCCAACTCTACAGAGCTACATACTAGAGACTGCCCCATGGTGAGAGACATCTCCAACTCTACAGAGCTACATACTAGAGACTGTCCCATCGTGAGAGACATCTACAGAGCTACATACTAGAGACTGCCCCATGGTGAGAGACATCTCCATCTAGACATACCTGCACACTAGAGACTGCCCCATGGTGAGAGACATCTCCAACTCTACAGAGCTACATACTAGAGACTGTCCCATGGTGAGAGACATCACTGCATTCTCTAGCTGGACATAGCTACTTACAAGAGAACATTCCATGGTCGTAGACATCTCCACATTCTCCATCTAGACCTACCCGCACACTAGAGACTGTCCCACGGTGAGAGACATCCTCACATTCTTCAAGTAGACATCACATATGACGGAGACCATCTTCAATGTTCTCCCAAGAGACCTCACCCCTCACATTGCCCAGAGATAACTTCATGTCAGAGCCTTTGCCTCGTATGGTGATGGTCATCTCCATCCCTTCCTGACTGATAACTATATGCTCGAGACCTCCAGATGTCACCCACGAGACTGTGGAAGATATCTCGTAGAGACCTCTGCTGATGAACCATCTCTTTTATAGAGAGACTGATACCGTCCTGTACTGTGAGACCTCTCAATGCCCCAAGATGGAGTCTTGTCATAGAAAGATGCTCCATGTGGATCTAAAGTGAATGTGAAGACCAGGAGGCCCCTTCCTCCGGCCTGGACATCGGTGTAAAGTGTATTCTTTCAGCCACCCCTGAACACAGGTGGACATCGGGTGACCATGAGGACCAGGAGGCCCCTTCCTCCGGCCTGGATATCATTATAAAGTATTTTTGTTATCAGAGAACCTTCTCCACCCCTGAACACAGGTGGACATCAGGTAACAGTCAGGACCAGGAGGTCCCTTCCTCCGGCCTGGATATCATTATAAGGAGTATTCTTTCGGTCACCCCTGAACACAGGTGCCAACCAGGAGACTGTGAGGACCAGGAGGTCCCTTCCTCCGGCCTGGATATCATTATAAAGTATTTTTGTGATCAGAGAACCTTCTCTACCCCTGAACACAGGTGGAAAACCAGGAGACTGAGGACCAGGAGGTCCCTTCCTCGGGCCTGGATATCATTATAAAGAGTATTCTTTCAGTCAGAGAACCCTCTCCACCCCCTGAACATCAGGTAACTGTGAAGACCAGGAGGTCCCTTCCTCCGGCCTGGATATCAGTATAAAGTGTATTCTTTCGGTCACCCCTGAACACAGGTGACAACCACGAGACTGAGGACCAGGAGGTCCCTTCCTCCGGCCTGGATATCAGTATAAAGTTTATTCTTTAGGTCACCCCTGAACACAGGTGACAACCAGGAGACTGTGAAGACCAGGAGGCCCCTTCCTCCGGCCTGGATATCATTATAAAGTATTTTTGTTATCAGAGAACCTTCTCCACCCCTGAACACAGGTGGACATCAGGTAACAGTCAGGACCAGGAGGTCCCTTCCTCCGGCCTGGATATCATTATAAGGAGTATTCCTTCGATCTGAGACCACAGCTGAGCTGGCACTTTGTAAGCACTGGGTCAATGGACCTCAGACCGGTCATGTAGGGTCCGGAGCGTGTCTGGCATAGGATGGTTTGTAGGCAACGGCCGGAAGGATCTCGGTGTTTGTGGTGGAGAAGGAAATGTTCCGCTTTGCATAACTTTGCAGTCACGGCAGGCGGCAGAAACTTGACAAAAGCCTCCGGGGATCTCCAGGCAACGGATTGTCCTCCCGTCATTGTGTGGAGACTTCCTGGTCCTCCTCTACGGGGGGGGTTCGTGCAGGTCGGTGGGGGAACGGTCCCGAGCTCCTTGATTGGACGCTCGGTGAGTAAGGCTTTTCAGGAATTAGTCCTCATGTGACAAGTTAAGAGGACGTCTGGTGGCCACGGCGCCGAGGCAGAGGAGCGTTCCGTGGGACGGTGAATGAAGAGAGGAATACTTGTGTGTGTGCGGGTGGAGGACGAGATCGCCGGCATTCCTGATGTCCTCCTCATGGCTCCGGCTCGCAGCGTGATCGCACCAAGAGGCGGACTTCCCTCCCGGCTCCGGAGCCTCCTGACCCGGTGACAATGGACCTCCACGTATTCTGCAATGTCACATCCAGGACATGAACGTCTCTCCAGGTGGAGGGAGAACTGCTGACATATCACAAATCCGCTTCCATGCGGAGCCTTCCCCGATAAGCCGGCACTTGTCTGGAATTCCTTTCCTCTCTCTGCCCAGGAGACCCGCCATGGCTTTCCTGAGTGGCCCCCGACTCCTGGACTGGGCCAGCACCCCCTCGCACCTCCAGTTCAATAAGTTTGTGCTGAGCGGGTACCGTCCGGTGACCAGCGGAGCGGAATGCATGCGGAGCTTGTTCTACCTGCACAACGAGCTCGGCAACATCTACACGCACGGTGAGAGCCGCCCCGGGGCCCCTCATTCTACGCATGCTGGGGGTGTGTGTGTGTGTGTCGCCTGGCTGTGTGTGTGTCGCCTGGCTGTGTGTGTGGGTCGCCTGGCTGTGGGTGTGTGTGTGGCGCCTGGCTGTGTGTGTGTGACGCCTGGCTGTGTGTGTGGGTCGCCTGGCTGTGGGTGTGTGTGTGGCGCCTGGCTGTGTGTGTGTGACGCCTGGCTGTGTGTGTGGGTCGCCTGGCTGTGGGTGTGTGTGTGGCGCCTGGCTGTGTGTGTGTGACGCCTGGCTGTGTGTGTGGGTCGCCTGGCTGTGGGTGTGTGTGTGGCGCCTGGCTGTGTGTGTGTGACGCCTGGCTGTGTGTGTGGGTCGCCTGGCTGTGGGTGTGTGTGTGGCGCCTGGCTGTGTGTGTGTGACGCCTGGCTGTGTGTGTGGGTCGCCTGGCTGTGGGTGTGTGTGTGGCGCCTGGCTGTGTGTGTGTGACGCCTGGCTGTGTGTGTGGGTCGCCTGGCTGTGGGTGTGTGTGTGGCGCCTGGCTGTGTGTGTGTGACGCCTGGCTGTGTGTGTGGGTCGCCTGGCTGTGGGTGTGTGTGTGGCGCCTGGCTGTGTGTGTGTGACGCCTGGCTGTGTGTGTGGGTCGCCTGGCTGTGGGTGTGTGTGTGGCGCCTGGCTGTGTGTGTGTGACGCCTGGCTGTGTGTGTGGGTCGCCTGGCTGTGGGTGTGTGTGTGGCGCCTGGCTGTGTGTGTGTGACGCCTGGCTGTGTGTGTGGGTCGCCTGGCTGTGGGTGTGTGTGTGGCGCCTGGCTGTGTGTGTGTGACGCCTGGCTGTGTGTGTGGGTCGCCTGGCTGTGGGTGTGTGTGTGGCGCCTGGCTGTGTGTGTGTGACGCCTGGCTGTGTGTGTGGGTCGCCTGGCTGTGGGTGTGTGTGTGGCGCCTGGCTGTGTGTGTGTGACGCCTGGCTGTGTGTGTGGGTCGCCTGGCTGTGGGTGTGTGTGTGGCGCCTGGCTGTGTGTGTGTGACGCCTGGCTGTGTGTGTGGGTCGCCTGGCTGTGGGTGTGTGTGTGGCGCCTGGCTGTGTGTGTGTGACGCCTGGCTGTGTGTGTGGGTCGCCTGGCTGTGGGTGTGTGTGTGGCGCCTGGCTGTGTGTGTGTGACGCCTGGCTGTGTGTGTGGGTCGCCTGGCTGTGGGTGTGTGTGTGGCGCCTGGCTGTGTGTGTGTGACGCCTGGCTGTGTGTGTGGGTCGCCTGGCTGTGGGTGTGTGTGTGGCGCCTGGCTGTGTGTGTGTGACGCCTGGCTGTGTGTGTGGGTCGCCTGGCTGTGGGTGTGTGTGTGGCGCCTGGCTGTGTGTGTGTGACGCCTGGCTGTGTGTGTGGGTCGCCTGGCTGTGGGTGTGTGTGTGGCGCCTGGCTGTGTGTGTGTGACGCCTGGCTGTGTGTGTGGGTCGCCTGGCTGTGGGTGTGTGTGTGGCGCCTGGCTGTGTGTGTGTGACGCCTGGCTGTGTGTGTGGGTCGCCTGGCTGTGGGTGTGTGTGTGGCGCCTGGCTGTGTGTGTGTGACGCCTGGCTGTGTGTGTGGGTCGCCTGGCTGTGGGTGTGTGTGTGGCGCCTGGCTGTGTGTGTGTGACGCCTGGCTGTGTGTGTGGGTCGCCTGGCTGTGGGTGTGTGTGTGGCGCCTGGCTGTGTGTGTGTGACGCCTGGCTGTGTGTGTGGGTCGCCTGGCTGTGGGTGTGTGTGTGGCGCCTGGCTGTGTGTGTGTGACGCCTGGCTGTGTGTGTGGGTCGCCTGGCTGTGGGTGTGTGTGTGGCGCCTGGCTGTGTGTGTGTGACGCCTGGCTGTGTGTGTGGGTCGCCTGGCTGTGGGTGTGTGTGTGGCGCCTGGCTGTGTGTGTGTGACGCCTGGCTGTGTGTGTGGGTCGCCTGGCTGTGGGTGTGTGTGTGGCGCCTGGCTGTGTGTGTGTGACGCCTGGCTGTGTGTGTGGGTCGCCTGGCTGTGGGTGTGTGTGTGGCGCCTGGCTGTGTGTGTGTGACGCCTGGCTGTGTGTGTGGGTCGCCTGGCTGTGGGTGTGTGTGTGGCGCCTGGCTGTGTGTGTGTGACGCCTGGCTGTGTGTGTGGGTCGCCTGGCTGTGGGTGTGTGTGTGGCGCCTGGCTGTGTGTGTGTGACGCCTGGCTGTGTGTGTGGGTCGCCTGGCTGTGGGTGTGTGTGTGGCGCCTGGCTGTGTGTGTGTGACGCCTGGCTGTGTGTGTGGGTCGCCTGGCTGTGGGTGTGTGTGTGGCGCCTGGCTGTGTGTGTGTGACGCCTGGCTGTGTGTGTGGGTCGCCTGGCTGTGGGTGTGTGTGTGGCGCCTGGCTGTGTGTGTGTGACGCCTGGCTGTGTGTGTGGGTCGCCTGGCTGTGGGTGTGTGTGTGGCGCCTGGCTGTGTGTGTGTGACGCCTGGCTGTGTGTGTGGGTCGCCTGGCTGTGGGTGTGTGTGTGGCGCCTGGCTGTGTGTGTGTGACGCCTGGCTGTGTGTGTGGGTCGCCTGGCTGTGGGTGTGTGTGTGGCGCCTGGCTGTGTGTGTGTGACGCCTGGCTGTGTGTGTGGGTCGCCTGGCTGTGGGTGTGTGTGTGGCGCCTGGCTGTGTGTGTGTGACGCCTGGCTGTGTGTGTGGGTCGCCTGGCTGTGGGTGTGTGTGTGGCGCCTGGCTGTGTGTGTGTGACGCCTGGCTGTGTGTGTGGGTCGCCTGGCTGTGGGTGTGTGTGTGGCGCCTGGCTGTGTGTGTGTGACGCCTGGCTGTGTGTGTGGGTCGCCTGGCTGTGGGTGTGTGTGTGGCGCCTGGCTGTGTGTGTGTGACGCCTGGCTGTGTGTGTGGGTCGCCTGGCTGTGGGTGTGTGTGTGGCGCCTG